ATGCGGTGGTTGACAGAGTCGAAAGCCTTGGCCAGGTCAATGAAAACGGCTGCACAGTACTGTCTATTATCGATCGCGGTTATAATATCGTTTAGGACCTTGAGCATGGCTGAAGTGCACCCATGACCAGCTCGGAAACCGGATTGCATAGCGGAGAAGGTACGGTGGGATTCGAAATGGTCGGTGATCTGTTTGTTGACTTGGCTTTCAAAAACTTTTGAAAGACAGGGCAGGATGGATATGGGTCTGTAACAGTTTGGATCTAGAGTGTCACCCCCTTTGAAGAGGGGGATGACCGCGGCAGCTTTCCAATCTCTGGGGATCTCAGACGTTACGAAAGAGAGGTTGAACAGGCTAGTAATAGGGGTTGCGACAATTTCGGCGGCTAGTTTTAGAAAGAAAGGGTCCAGATTGTCTAGCCCAGAAGATTTGTAGGGGTCCAGATTTTGCAGCTCTTTCAGAACATCAGCTGTCTGGATTTGTGTGAAGGAGAAGCGGGGGGGGGGGGGGGGGGGGGGGGCATGGGCAAGTTGCAGCGGAGGGTGCAGAGCTGGTGGCCAGGGTAGTGGTAGCCAGGTGGAACGCATGGCCAGCCGTAGCAAAATGCTTGTTGAAATTCTCGATTATTGTAGATTTATCGGTGGTGATAGTGTTTCCTAGCCTCAGTGCAGTGGGCAGCTGGGAGGAAGTGCTCTTATTTTCCATGGACTTTACAGTGTCCCAAAACTTTTTGGAGTTAGTGCTACAGGAAGCAAATTTCTGTTTGAAAAAGTTAGCCTTTGCTTTCCTAACTGCTTGTGTATATTGGTTCCTAACTTCCCTGAAAAGTTGCATATCGCGGGGGCTATTTGATGCTAATGCAGTACGCCACAGGATGTTTTTGTGCTGGTCAAGGGCAGTCAAGTCTGAGGAGAACCAGGGGCTATATCTGTTCTTAGTTCTGTATTTTTTGAATGGGGCATGTTTATTTAAGATTGAGAGGAAATTACTTTTAAAGAACAACCAGGCATCCTCTACTGACGGAATGAGATCTATATCCATCCAGGATACCTGGGCCAGGTCAATTAGGGAAGGCCTGCTCGCTGAAGTGTTTTTGGGAGCGTTTGACAGTGATGAGGGGTGGTCGTTTGACCGCGGACCCGTTACGGACGCAGGCAATAAGGCAGTGATCGCTGAGATCCTGGTTGAAGACAGCGGAGGTGTATTTAGAGGGTAAGTTAGTCAGGATGATATCTATGAGGGTACCCATGTTTACGGATTTAGGGTTGTACCTGGTAGGTTCGTTGATAATTTGTGTGAGATTGAGGGCATCTAGTTTAGATTGTAGGATGGCCGGGGTGTTAAGCATATCCCAGTTTAGGTCACCAAGCAGTACGAACTCTGAGGATAGATGGGGGGCAATTAATTCACATATGGTGTCCAGGGCACAGCTGGGGGCTGAGGGGGGTCTGTAGCAAGCGGCAACAGTGAGAGATTTATCTCTGGAAAGGTGAATTTTTAGAAGTAGAAGCTCAAACTGTTTGGGCACAGACCTGGATAGTATGATAGAGCTCTGCAGGCTATCTCTACAGTAGATTGCAACTCCACCCCCTTTGGCAGTTCTATCTAGACGGAAAATGTTATAGTTGGGGATGGACATTTCAGAATTTTTGGTGGCCTTCCTAAGCCAGGATTCAGACACTGCTAGAACATCAGGGTTGGCGGAGTGTGCTAACGCAGTGAATAACTCAAACTTAGGAAGGAGGCTTCTGATATTTACGTGCAGAAAACCAAGACTTTTACGGTTACAGAAGTCAACAAATGATAGCTCCTGGGGAGTAGGAGTGATACTGGGGGCTGCAGGGCCTGGGTTAGCCTCTACATCACCAGAGGAGGACTAGAATAAGGATACGACTAAAGGTTTTAAGAACTGGTCTTCTAGTGCGTTGGGTACATAGAATAAAGGAGGCAGTTCTCCGGGCGTTGTAGAAAAGATTCAGGGCATTATGTACAGAAAATGATATGGAAGGATATGAGTACAGTTCAGGTAACCCTAAGCGTTGGGTAACAATGAAAGAGATAGCGTCACTGGAGGCACCGATTGAGCCGGTCTCGGCGTGTATGGGGGGTGGAACAAAGGAACTATTTGAGGCAGTTTGAGAGGGACTAGGGGTTCTACAGTGAAATTGTATAATAAGAACTAACCCAAACAGCAATAGGCAAGGCATAATTGACATGGGAGAGAGGCATAAAGCAGTCACAGGTGTTAATAGAGAGAGCTAAGACAACAACTGGAAATAGCGATAACGTTTGGGCTAAGGCTAAACAGAATAAACAGGACAGGGTACCGTGTAAAGGAACAGTCCAGCAGGCATCAGCTGTGCAGCTGAGTGATCATAAGGTCCAGTGAACAGCAATATGTGAGTCCGAGAGCAGTTCAAATTGGTGCTTCAGCACAGCTAGCAGGGAGCACAGTTGTAGTTTGCGTGTGCTAGCGGGCCGGGGCTGGCAGATGGATCTTCGTGGTCGTCGCAACGGGAAGCCTGTTGAAACCACATCAGACTATTTCGTCGGCAGACCAGTCGTGTTGGATCGGCGGGGCTCAGTGTCAACACTAGGAGGTCCCGTCCGGTTGACAGAGAGGTAGATAGCCGGGAGATGGGCCTGAGGCTAGCTCAAGGCTAACTGGTGCTTGCTATAGGGCAATGGTAATCAGCCAACAACAGGTTGCAGCTAGCTAGCTGGTTGCGATGATCCGGCGCTAGGGTCCAGTGATTCCGGCAGAAAGTCCAATAAGCTCTGGGTCGATAGCACGCTGGGTCGATAGCACGCTGTGCAGACTGGCCGACGAATTGTCCAGGCTAGAGCTAGAGCTGGCTGGTGGATAGTGTAGGCCACGGACAGTGGTGAAGACGCTAACGGTGACTAATAGTAAGTAGCCATTCAGTTGCAGCTACACTATTTTCAGCTTACGGTTCTTGATGAAAGTTATAAAGAAATAATAGAATCCTTTCCACGTTGGGTGAGGCGGGTTGCAGGAAAGTATATTTAGTTAAAGAATGAAAAGTAAAAATTTAGAAATATATACAAAATAGACAAAAAAACAAGAAACGGGATATTTACACAGGGACAATGAATAAAAGCGACCGCACTGCTACGCCATCTTGGGTACAATGCCAAGCGTCGGCTGGAGTGGGGTAAAGCTCGCCGCCATTGGACTCTGGAGCAGTTGAAATTAGTTCTCTGGAGTGATGAATCACGCTTCACCATCTGGCAGTCCGACGGACGGATCTGGGTTTGGCGGATGCCAGGAGAACGCTACCTGCCCCAATGCATAGTGCCAACTGTATAGTTTGGTGGAGGAGGAATAATTGTCTGGGGCTGTTTTTCATGGTTCGGGCTAGGCCCCTTAGTTCCAGTGAAGGGAAATCTTAACGCTACAGCATACACTGACATTCTGGACGATTCTGTTCTTCCAACTTTGTGGCAACTGTTTGGGGAAGGCCCTTTCCTGTTTCAGCATTACAATGCCCCTGTGCACAAAGCGAGGTCCATACAGAAATGGTTTGTCGAGATCGGTGTGGAAGAACTTGACTGGCCTGCACAGAGCCCTGACCTCAACCCCATCGAACACCTTTGGGATGAATTGGAACGCCGACTGCGAGCCAGGCCTAATCGCCCAACATCAGTGCCCAACCTCGCTAATGCTCTTGTGGCTGAATGGAAGCAAGTCCCAGCGGCAATGTTCCAACATCTAGTGGCTGTTATAGCAGCAAAGGGGGGACCAACTCCATATTAATGCAAATGATTTTGGAATGAGATGTTTGACGAGCAGGTGTCCACATACATTTGGTAATGTAGTGTACCATCTTTAATTTTGGAAATATGTTCCCAAGTATTCCCAAGCAGAATAGAGAGACACGTGAACGTGACGTACACGTCGATCCAGAGCATCCCAAACATGCTCAATGGGTGACGTCTGGTGAGTATGCAGGCCATGGAAGAACTGGGACATTTTCAGCTTCCAGGAATTGTGTACAGAGCCTTGCAACATGGGGCTGTGCATTATCAATTTGAAACATGAGGTGATGGCAGCGGATGAATGGCACGACAATGGGCCTCAGGATCTCATCATGGTATCTCTGTGCATTCAAATTGCCATCGATAAAATGCAACTGTGTTCGTTGTCCGTACCTTATGCCTGCCCATACCATAACCCCACTGCCACCATGGGACACTCTGTTCACAACATTGACATCAGCAAACCGCTCGCCCACACAGCACTATACACACTGTCTGCCATCTGCCCGGTACAGTTGAAACCGGGATTCTCCAGCGTGTCAGTGGCCATCGAAGGTGAGCATCTGCCCACTGAAGTCGGTTACAACACCGAATTGCAGCCAGGTCAAGACCCTGATGAGGACGACGAGCATGCAGATGAGCTTCCCTGAGACGGTTCCTGAGTTTGTGCAGAAATTATTCGGTTGTGCAAACCCACAGTTTCATCAGCTGTCCAGGTGGCTGGTCTCAGACGATCCCGCAGGTGAAGAAGCCGGATGTGGAGGTCCTGGGTGGGCAATGTTACACGTGGTCTGCAGTTGTGATACCAGTTGGACAAAAACTGCAAATTTTAGAGTGGCCTTTTATTGTCCCCAGCACAAGGTGCACCTGTGTAATGATCATGCTGTTTATTCATCTTATTGATATGCCACATCTGTCAGGTGGATAGATTATCTTGGCAAATGAGAAATGCTCACTAACAGGGATGTAAACAAATTTGTGCACAACATTTGAGAGAAATAAGCTTTTTGTGCATATGGAAAATGTATGGGATCTTTTATTTCAGCTCATGAAATATGGGACCAACACTTTACATGATGCGTTTTTTTTTTGTTCAGTGTAGTTGATGATCCCTGATCTTAAAGCTGTGATGCTTTTGGGAAACCCAGCCCAGGAGGGTTGCTTTGTGGGTTTCTATCTGGCGGAAACTGTGTGCGTGGGGCCCTGGTTTGCGTACATGGTTACACATTCATAGTTTTGGGAAGGAACTGCACTGCTCTGGGCCTCTGCATGTGAGCATGAGTAATGGGCAGCAACACTGGAAGTGGAAAGGTTTCTGAGCTCCACTTCCTCTTAACCTTCTCCTCTCTGAACTCAATCACAGGCTGGTGGATTGCAACCAAAGAGAACAGTTCTACTAGTGTACAATAGTGTTTGCTTCAACCATGGGGTTTAATAGGCTGCATCCCAAATGGAACCCAATTCCATATTAGGTGAACTACTTTTGTCCAGGGCCCTAAGGGCTCTGGTCAAAAGTAGTGCACTCTATATGGGGTAGGGTACCATTTGAGACGCAAGCATTGTATTGGTGTAAGTGGACCTTAAAGTTAAACAAATTAAATGAATCCTGACAATATACCGGTATCTATATTTTTTGTTCATAATTAATCATGTGCCAAGGCCAAGCAGGATGAACCTTGATTATGTACTGACCTTTATATAGTGCCTAAAGATGCATATAATCTTAAATTAAGATAACTTCATTATCCCCATGGGGAAATGTAGGTTGCAGCTCTGTGCATACATAACACAATCGAAGATAGACTAAGGACATATACAGACAATAAATACAGGTAGAAAAAGTGCAATTCGTGAGCAATCAATGTTTCATCTGTACACAACATAACACTATATAAACTACAATGTTAGCTGTAGTCCTACATGTGGATTTAAACATTGAGAAAGCCTTACTGCCGCTGGGACAAAAGATCATTTGGCCCTATTTATTTTGTGCCCAGTTGGATGTGTTGTAATAAGTTGTGCAGAACGCTAATGAATATCCATGGAGAACAAGTTCTTGACAGCTTTGTTATGGTCTCATTTGAATTTCCTTGACTCCTCATGTCCTCTTTCCTCGCTTCCTTCTCCAAACGCATTGGAGCAGAAGGCCCAAGGGGAGGAACCTCTAACCTTCCCCTCTAGTGCGTTTTGAGGAGGCGAGGAGAGGACATGGGGTATAATTGAGATTGACCCTTGGTCCTCACCATAGGGTCATCACAGAGCAGTCACAACAAGCTTGTCCTGTAGTGGTTACAAAAAGGACTAACTCCCTTAATGTGACATGTTAATATGAATAAAAACAAGAGACGGTCAAGCAAAATGTTATTACTTTAATACCATACTGCATATATTCTTTACAATTCTATGATTACAGTAAAAAAACAAAAAACAATAAGCAGCAATAAGCCATTATATAATTTAACCTCCCCAATGAACTAGTTTGTTTGTGTTTGTGTGTCACAGAAGGTTGGTGGCACCTTAATTGGGAAGAACAGGCTTGTGGTAATGACTGGAGCGGTATCAGTGGAATGGTATCAAATACATCAAACACATGGTTTCTATGTGTTTGAGGCCATTCCATTTGCTACCTTCCGTCCCTCATTATGAGCCGTTCTCCCCTCAGCAGCCTCCATTGGTGTGTGTGTGCGTGCGTGCATAGGAGTTGGGGGAGGGGGGGGGGGGGGGGGGGGGGGGGGCATCTGGTTGGTTACACACTACATGTAAGTACTGAAAAAATGAAGACCACCTCTTGCTTTCCATTAAGGCACTGTTGCCCATCAAAGTAAACATAAAGCCTAGCCACATGCCGCAGAGCACTGAGGACAGCCCATATTAAACTGACTAATTAACCATATTGTATAATCAAATCAGAAGCAGTAAGAGAATACCTGAGGCTCCTTGAGAGTTGCTACTACTGAATGAATGAAATAAAAAGGCTTACCTAAAGTCGATGTGCTTTCCTAAAATAATGTTGCTGACAGTGAAAATGTTGGTCCCTAATTCTCAGATAATGTAAATAAAATATAGATTAGGGGTCAATATTAAGAAATAGGATTGTTTGAAATGGTTTCTTATTAACAAATACTTTACTGGGTAGCTACAGTTATGGCATTTATAACAGGGTCTTACAGGGTTAACTGTACTGTTTAACCCACCCCTACATCAGAGAGCGATACATCTCTCCAGATACCTCAGTCAGATTGAGACAGTATCAGAGGCACATGCCTCTCCTAGCCGTGCCAGACAATCCTTAATGAAATTTAAGACCTTCCCCATTCTAACTGCACACTGTAATCTAATGGAATTTTCCTGGAACTTTATAGCCCTGATTCTGTCATGGTTAAGGTTCCACTGAGGAAGTCTGTCAGTTTCACATAAGGCACTGTGTAACTGTCAAAAGGCAACCAGTAGCTACAATTCAAGATGATCATATGATTATGATCTACAAAATAATACTTAAAAATAAAAGAATCTTAACTTTCAGTCGTCCTATGCAAATTAAGTGCTTTTCTGTCTTGTTAAAAATATTAAAAAAGACATGCCTAGCATTTCACCCATATTACAAACTGGACTATAATTGGCAGTGAGTAGAAAGAAATCACATCAAAAAGCACTTTAAGATCACCATCTGAATTGTATTGTAAACAAAAGGTTTGGTTGTACATATGGAAGGTTGTGGAGAAAGTCTGGCACATATTGAATTAAGATTGCATTGAGAGAAAAACAGGCATCGAAGCGGCTTGTATAAACATAGTTAGTTGCATACTGTACATGGCACGGCAGGGATAGGGTCAGTTCCAATTCAATCCATCCAATTCCTTTGACGAACTGAAATTAAATTCACAATGTTTTTAACTGACTTACAATTCTCCTGATTAATTGAATTGACAGAATGAGCATGGAGCAGACCCCATCCCGTGGTCGACAGTATAAATAGGAGCTCCCAGCTCTACTACTCTGGGCTTGCTTGTTGCTTTCCTCTGGATCCTGGTGCCTGTATTAACAAAGCGTCTCAGAGTATGACTGCTGATCTAGGATCAGGTAATCATATCCCACCTGTCCATATAGTTATAATCTAAACTGTAAAAATGATCCTAGGACCTACTCTGAGATGCATTATGAATATTGGCCCCGCAGTCTGGACTCTCTGGAGTCTCTCCCACATACAGACAGCACTCCGCTCTGATCAGTTCAACAGCTCCAGATAGGTGATGGGCACTTTACCCTTCTGGGCACCCCGCTCACCCATCAGCCAATCAGAGTCCATGCCTGGGACACTGCTCACCATGATGACCTGGACCAGGACGTATACAAGACAGAACACGCTCCCTCTCAGTCAGGCAGTCCAATAGTAGCAATGCAATAAACACATCTCATCAGCAAGAACCTCAGATGTTGAAGTCGGAACAAACAATTGCATGAGATAAGGTGGGACGGAAAGAAAGAAGGAGAGATGGAGGAAGAGAAAGCTAAAAGGCAAAGAGAGAGCAAGAAAAACCAGAGAGATGGAAAGGCATGCCCAAAACCAGAGCCCATTAAAGCTTTGAGAAGTGCTCAACCCCAGTCCCATGTTACCCACCTCATCAGCGAGCAGGGAGAGTTCACTGCTGCCGGCAGCATCGTAGTCGTAGAGAACGCGGGCTTTGCGGCTGCCGCTGGAGCTCCGGAGCTCACTGAAGCCTGACAAGCCCCGGCCAGGAGAGGGGCTGGGCATGGAGGCAGACAAGGGGATGGTGGGTACTGAGATACTTGCCCCACCAGAACTACTAGACGACTGGTTGTTGTTGGAGGAGAACGTAGACGGGAAGCTGGGGAAAGAAGAGGAGTAGCACTGGTAAAAAAAAAAAACCTAACCACACTTTAGAAATATATGTAATGCTGTGCCAACAAAACTGTAGTAGAATAAACTACACACACTTAGATGGAGATGATTTGTCAGAGTAGGTAAACATACCTCCCCAGTTGCTTCTGGAGGTCTACCATGTACTGGTAAGACTGGGCATAGTATGTAGTCTGGGCCTCTACAAAGTCAGTCAGACAGCGGAGGTGGTGTGCCTATTGTAAAGAGAGAAAAAGCGTGATAGAGAAGGAGACAGAGAGAAAGGGGAGAAAGAGAGGCATGTCTACCAACAGGAAAACTCTCCTCTACAAACAGGTATTTATGAATGTAACCAAAGATGCATGCTGGTACAGTAGTTGAACCTTTGGGTTAGACAGAATCTAGGTCATGCTGGCGTCATAGGGTCATGGAGGGTTGTGTGCAGGGACAGGCAGAGGCTGTCTGAAATAGCACCCTATTCCTTTTAGGGTACCCTATTCCGCTAGGAAGCGCACAATAAAAGGGAATAGGATGCCATTTCAGACAAACTCAGATTGAGGTCATGCGGGGTCACAGGGTCGTGGGGTTGTCGTGGTGTCAGAGGTCAGGGTACGTACATGGGTGCTGCTGACCCCCTCCAGGAGCAGCCTGGTGATCTCCGCCTGTCTGTCAAACTCACTCTGGGTCATCCTCAGGTCCTGCTCTGCCTGGGGGGAAAACAACACACACTGTCATCACAGACGCACAGAAACACTTGTCTGCCACAGGAAAACAACACACCTTTCAGGGATGAAAAAAGGTAAACCAGCTTAATATAAGTATGTTTTGGAGCAACTGATTGTGCATCATGAACCCGTTTGTGAAGAAGACCGCGAAAGGAAGTTTAGGCCATTTATTTCAACCCCAAGTGAAACCAGGACAACCTTTGTTTTTCATTATGCTGTGTGGTGCCTCTGTGTAGTTCAGGAACAGGAGTTATCAGGCAGAGAGAGGACAATTGGCATATTCTTCTGGCTCATTTCACTCTAGCAGTTGCATGCAGAGGAAAAGCCCCATAAACATTGACTGATGGCCACTGTGACATTGACAATGGTGTTGGACCTCTCTGTTCCTTCCAGCTTTACATTATTATTCCAGAGAGAGAGTAGAGAGAGTAGAGAGAGTAGAGAGAGTAGAGAGAGTAGAGAGAGAGAGAGAGAGAGAGAGAGAGAGAGAGAGAGAGAGAGAGAGAGAGAGACTGATTGACACAAACAGCTGCTGACCATGACGCCAGCAGGAGGCGTTCTGGTCCTCAGTTCCAACATGGCTGCTGAACATTCCACTCACCTCGGTCACTTCCTATGGCCACATCTGTTCGTTAGCGCGTTGTGAAACAGTGACAGAGTCATTCTATTAGAGCTACAGCTGCTGCGACACCACAGCCAACACAACATAGCCTACTATCTCTAGCCTGTCAACAGCCAACACAACATAGCCTACTATCTCTAGCCTGTCAACAGCCAACACAACATAGCCTACTATCTCTAGCCTGTCAACAGCCAACACAACATAGCCTACTATCTCTAGCCTGTCAACAGCCAACACAACATAGCCTACTATCTCTAGCCTGTCAACAGCCAACACAACATAGCCTACTATCCCATCACAGCACAATAGTCTGACTACCACACACAATAGTCTGACTACACCACACAATAGTGCATGTCAGTTCACTAGCATTCACAGATCCACAGACTGATACACAAGCTGTACTACAACCACATGACACAGTTTCACAACAAACGCCAAGCGGCCTTCTCTTGCTGTTGTCGACATCCTTTAGGGAAACAGCAGACAGCTGTCCCAACAAATTGACTCAGGCCTCCTACAGTACATAACTTAGATACACACAGTATGCTAGGCTAAATGCAGCTTTAGTTTAGCTGGTTACCTTAAAAAAAAGAGGCAATCTGGGATTGGTACAACATTTGTCCAGGCCCATCTTTTTACAAAAAATTGGCGGGGTGACTGACCACTTTGCTGATGTTTGAATCCCAGATTGCCCTGTTAATGCGGATCACGAGGATATGTTTTTTAACCATCACTGCTACTTGTTGTTTCACAACGTCACACTTCGTAGTTTGGTAATGTGCTGCGTCTGTTGTAACAGTCAACAGCTCAATTCTCTGAAGGACATGGTCACTCAGTCAGTCATGATGACATCAGATCATATCAGTTAGACTGGTAACAACAAAGCTTGCAGGGAAACCAAGGCCACAGCTAAGGTATAGTGCTAACTAGATAATGAAGGGTGGATCACAAGAGAAGGCAGACCTACACAGTCACCATATGATGAGGGCACACCACTTTACATGGGCCTTTTACCTTAGATACTGTAGTGTAATAAGCCTGTTTCAAGCTGTTATGTAGTACAGTATTTGACATCCAGTTCTATTGTATAATAGGCTAAGTGTTGTCAGTAAAGTACTTGTTTTCTGAGAAAATAAATGTTGGACACAAAAGACAAAACACCAGCAAATCAGTGCCAAGTGATTTTAATTTTGGAAATCTGTTCCAAAGTATTCCCACGCATATTAGAGATATGTGATCGTATAGAAATGTAAGCAACGTTTGAAATGATTATGTTTTAGTCTAATATATCTGTTTGGGCTTCTAGCGGTTCATTTGCAGTAGACAAATGATTTGTAATTATGTTCCGGCCCACGGACCATCCCCTCAATGGGGCCTCGGCTGAATCTAGTTGATGATCCCTGAATTAGAGTATGCATGTACCTGGCCTGGTAGAGACTAGTTAGCATTAGCCTAGAAACTATTCCACTACAGTTTCAATGATACAGGCCATGCATTCACATTAATGAAAAGGCAACCAGCCTTCAGCCACCCATGTGACATGCAGGAGACTGAACATGTAGCAAGAAAGAGAAGACGTACACAGAGGAGAGGACTTACAGGGCTAGATAGGAGGACAGGAGGAGGAGAGCTACAGGAAAACAGGATGGTGGACGAGAGAGCGAGGAGCTCCAGAGAAATAGAAATTAGGAACTGGCCCTTCTCATAGCGAGCCATGTGACAGTGTGTCATGGAGGGGGGGAAGGTTCAGCCAATGTTGTGTAACCAAGGCCACAGCGTTGTGCATCAGTCTAGTGACGTGTGTGTCAGGAGACTTAGCAGACTACGCCCAAATACCTTTCACCCGTCCAACATGGTCTCTCTTGACAAGGTTTCTTTGTTGATGTTGTTCTTATTAGTAATTTATTATCTACAAATTAACACTGTGCTATATTACCACCCATTTCAGACTTGAGTGTGTGTGTGTGTGTGTGTGTGTGTGTGTGTTGAAACAAAAGGGACAGTATATAGTCCACTCACCACTGCTCTAGCGTCGGCGACTCTGGCTTTCTTTAGCCTGGTTTTTGCCGCGTCCAGATCCAAACGCTTCACCTGCAAAAGCTTCCGTTCTTTCTGCACAAAAAACATGGACAACAAAACAAAAAATGACAGATTACTATCAAATCAGCTGCATTATGACATTTGGAATCAAAACAGTTGATCTTGATAGGACTGCCTGCTGCTCGTCATTACATATAGTAATGCCAATAAAACCAGACTAGAGTGTACTGTACGAGGGCTTGCAGAGAAACAGGAAGATAACGTCATGTCATAAATATGACCAATTAGCTTTCACATGGTGGGCAATGGCAGAGAAAAGGGACCTTGACTCTTTTAGATTAAATTACTTCCAACCACCTAGTTTCAATCCAAAAGGTCATGACCCTCAGGGGAATGAATGGGCCCTGGTCAAAAGTAGTGCTGCACTATTTAAGGAATAGGGTGACATTTGGGATGCTGAACGGATCATCCCGTTGATACTCACCAGGATGGTTTTGAAGTCTCCTTCTAGAAAGTTCCTGAACGGCGTGAGGAAGTTGATGGCTGAGCTCTGGATGAACTCTCTCTCCGCTCCTCCAATCTGCTTCTCCGTCTCGCCACATTTAATAAGTGCGTTTCCTGTAGGGACAGGAAGTAGATAAGGTTTAACCAGAAAGTAGAAATTAAAAGTTTGACTACAGCGACGTCCAGGAGGACACAGATGCTGTTCAGATGCTGGACATTTGAGCTGCTTTTTTAAAGATAACGCATAGGAATTCCTTGGCACCTGGCCAATGTGAATGTTGTGTTCAGCTTTATTTTAAATATGTCCAATAAAATTGATTCATTCACAGGCTACATCAATATTAATTATCAGGCTCTCAAAACACTTTTTCAATAGAAAAAAATGAGATGTTCCAAGTCTACAACAATGCTTAAACCATATCAGTGGATCACTTTTGAGGTCTGGGAAAAATCTGAGATTTCTTTTTTTTTGTGTAGTTACCTTTAATTCAGGTGTGCACCAGCCAGGTTGTGTTTGGCTAGTGGTGTTTCTGTAGCGCACCTGTAATGGAGTTTTCAAAACAAATGGCCACTGGATTGATGCAAATAATCATGATTCTGCCAGGTAGGCATAGGCTACTTTGTAGTTACCCAAAGATGGTTAGGCTACCATTAGCATCGCACACACAGGGCTCAATAGTCAAGTAAATTTGCCAGTGGCAAACTGAAAGCTACTGGCCCGAATGAAATAAATACTGTCCCGGGTCAAGATCTGACAGGAAAGTGAATGATGTGTGCATCATTTCAATAGCAGGTGATCTTATCTTTCATTTGCGGGCTGAGCAAGTAGCCCATTAGGTTATACAGTGGGGGAAAAAAGTATTTAGTCAGCCACCAATTGTGCTGACAAAAGTTCTCCCACTTAAAAAGATGAGAGGCCTGTAATTTTCATCATAGGTACACGTCAACTATGACAGACAAAATGAGAAAAAGAAATCCAGAAAATCACATTGTAGGATTTTTTATGAATTTATTTGCAAATTATGGTGGAAAATAAGTATTTGGTCAATAACAAAAGTTTCTCGATACTTTGTTATATACCCTTTGTTGGCAATGACACAGGTCAAACGTTTTCTGTAAGTCTTCACAAGATTTTCACACACTGTTGCTGGTATTTTGGCCCATTCCTCCATGCAGATCTCCTCTAGAGCATTGATGTTTTGGGGCTGTCGCTGGGCAACACAGACTTTCAACTCCCTCCAAAGATTTTCTATGGGTTTGAGATCTGGAGACTGGCTAGGCCACTCCAGGACCTTGAAATGCTTCTTACGAAGCCACTCCTTCGTTGCCCGGGCGGTGTGTTTGGGATCATTGTCATGCTGAAAGACCCAGCCACGTTTCATCTTCAATGCCCTTGCTGATGGAAGGAGGTTTTCACTCAAAATCTCACGATACATGGCCCCATTCATTCTTTCCTTTACACGGATCAGTTGTCCTGGTCCCTTTGCAGAAAAACAGCCCCAAAGCATGATGTTTCCACCCCCATGCTTCACAGTAGGTATGGTGTTCTTTGGATGCAACTCAGCATTCTTTGTCCTCCAAACACGACGAGTTGAGTTTTTACCAAAAAGTTATATTTTGGTTTCATCTGACCATATGACATTCTCCCAATCCTCTTCTGGATCATCCAAATGCACTCTAGCAAACTTCAGACGGGCCTGGACATGTACTGGCTTAAGCAGGGGGACACGTCTTGCACTGCAGGATTTGAGTCCCTGGCTGCGTAGTGTGTTACTGATGGTAGGCTTTGTTACTTTGGTCCCAGCTCTCTGCAGGTCATTCACTAGGTCCCCCCGTGTGGTTCTGGGATTTTTGCTCACCGTTCTTGTGATCATTTTGACCCCACGGGGTGAGATCTTGCGTGGAGCCCCAGATCGAGGGAGATTATCAGTGGTCTTGTATATCTTCCATTTCCTAATAATTGCTCCCACAGTTGATTTCTTCAAACCAAGCTGCTTGCCTATTGCAGATTCAGTCTTCCCAGCCTGGTGCAGGTCTACAATTTTGTTTCTGGTGTCCTTTGACAGCTCTTTGGTCTTGGCTATAGTGGAGTTTGGAGTGTGACTGTTTGAGGTTGTGGACAGGTGTCTTTTATACTGATAACAAGTTCAAACAGGTGCCATTAATACAGGTAACGAGTGGAGGACAGAGGAGCCTCTTAAAGAAGAAGTTACAGGTCTGTGAGAGCCAGAAATCTTGCCTGTTTGTAGGTGACCAAATACTTATTTTCCACCATAATTTGCAAATAAATTCATTAAAAATCCTACAATGTGATTTTCTGGATTTTTTTTCCTCAATTTGTCTGTCATAGTTGACGTGTACCTATGATGAAAATTACAGGCCTCTCTCATCTTTTTAAGTGGGAGAACTTGCACAATTGGTGGCTGACTAAATACTTTTTTCCCCCAATGTATGTGTGCAGTGCACATGTGATAAATAATCGACATAAACGGACAGCTGTGGGAATCCATATATTTTTAAAATCAATTATATAGACTATAAATAAAAATTGCATTATTACAATATTTTTTAAAACACTTTTTACAAATGTCATCCTAGGACAGTGTTTCATTCCAGGAAGATGTTCTCTCCCATCTGCCTTTGTTCACTCCCCTTGACAGATCTGACAGGGGAGGTGAACACATTTCTGGAATGAAACGCAGCCTAAGGGTAGTATTCACTAGGAACCAAACGGGACAAAAAAACAGAGGGACTACCTGCATTTGTCCAATAAGAAATGCTTGTTTTGATTTTCCGTTGCACTTATTAATGCACCCCAGGTACAACTCACTCACCATAGGCCGTTCCAGGGCCAAACTCACTCCCCGACTCGATCATGGACTGGCCAAGCATCTCGTGGTTGTTCATCCGCGTGGGGACTTTCTTCTCCAGTTTCTCGTACAGAAATTCCTCTATTCTGACATCTGAAAATTATACGATAAATTAAATTAGAGAGAAAGGAGAGTCACGAGGAAGCAGGACTAAGGAGTAACCTTGTGCTGCATAACCGGACTGCCAGATAACAGGGATATCACACAGGCATATCCAGTTTGCGATCTAGTCTAGTAAATCTTCAACAACATTTCTGGGGTTCAAAAGAGCCTTATAGTAGGCTAACTGAGCTAGCACAGACCTACATAAGACATTACACTGACTACACTATACGCAAGTAAATTCTGACACTAGGCTAACCAACCACCTTTGATGGAGCCAACTGCTTTATCTACTAAACCAGCAACTATAGGACTAGCTGTTGAGTACAATCATAATAAACTAGGCCTAACAGCAAGCAGAAGCAGGTGTGCTTTGGTTGTGAGTGTGCCTGGAGATAAGGTGTGTGTGTGTGTGTGTGTGCGCATGCATGCGTCTGGCCCTAGCAGCAGACTGAGCTATGCAGCACCATGGTGTAAACTCAGAGGAGGGTCCACAGCTGAGTTTACAGTCGCATAGACACCCAACTGTTGTTTAACAGTCAATACTCATAAGTACACATGGTGTGGTTCTTTGAAGAATATGGCTGCGTTTACACAGGCAGCCCAATTCAGATATTCTTTCTAATAATTGGCCTATTGACCAATCACACATCAGATCTTTTAAAATAACAATTCGTTTTTTTAAATGATCGGAATTGGGCTGCCTGTGTAAATGCAGCCTATGTAGCCTAGGCTTAGAATGTAAAGGATTATGACCGTCCAATTGTGGCACAAAATCTGGATAAAATGTAGCCTATAGGCTATGAAGGGAAAGTGGCTAACCAGTTACTGCTTCTTTACTGAGGAGGAACTAGGCTCAAAAACCAACCGTTATTCTTACAACCGGTTTCATGGGAATCTGTCAAAGGCTACATTAGCCTAGATTTTTACTTCCATGTAGGAAAAAATGTAGCTTATGTTTTGGTATTCAAAGAGAAATTATCATGTTAAAGTAAACAACAGCACTGTCTACTCTTTTCTGCTTTGTTAACATCCAGAGTAGGCTAATTGTGCATCAGTTGAATCCCTTTAAGAGTTGAATTTGTACTGCAGCAGCTGCTGGTCAAGTTTCATGAATACCTTGGCTCTCATTGTGTCTATGGCACAGTCATACCTAATAGATTTGTGTAACATCTAGGGCAAGCCTGTTTCTACAGCTGACTGAAGCCAAGACAACACATAATCCACAGAGCCTACAGTATTAGACACCTTACTAGACCATGACAGCATCCACATGTAATGCTTCTTCATTTTTAAAATACTATTTCAGGCCATTTAACAGTTACTTTTTAAATGGGGCTGAATCAACGACTGTATATGAATGGACAAAGCCATCGACCACGTGACACCATTCATTCCTATGTGAAGAATCAATAGCGCATTGAAGCGCTAAATGATCATTATATTATATAATTAGTATACATTATATCCTCTGTATGAGATTTTAAAATAAATTGGTTCAAGGACATACATCTGGTGTATTAGAAGCAATTAGGATTATTGGTACCATGATTGTCTTAAATTATAATAATAATTATTATTATAATACAAAGATTACCATTTTTCTATTCA